GGCTGTGTCACTCGCACACTGAAAGGATAAATTCTCATGCTCAGGTCAAATCGCACTGGGTCCTCTTGAATTTGTCCAAGGTGATGTAATTGGTCCCGCACAGGAGAAAACGGCCACAGCCGATGATTTGTAGCAAAAGTCGATGCGCAGCAGATCCTAATGAGGGACTGATCATCGCTGAGGTGCTTTTTCTTCTGTGGCTCCTCCTTATTCCAACGGACCAGACAAAACTGCTTTAGATGCAACTCCTCACATGACTTGGTGCTGAACTACGTGGACAAACTTTCCCATTTGGTTCTAAACCAAGACTGAAACATTTTTACGGATGGGGTTTCAAATACCTCAAAACGCAAATTTCTTCAGCTCCAGCGGTATTTTTGTAGTTACACGACTTTTCATGTCGTCCAGCTCAAGAAGTATGAATCGATTGCCAATCCATAATCACTGTATTGAGCACATCGCTAGCTTTTCAATTGCTATCACTTTATGTCATGGCTACCGTATCCACTGCACCGTTTAGATATTCGACGAACGGATACAGTATGTGTCATCGACCAATCACAAATCGAATAGCAGCTCGATGAACAACGTGAACAACCAATCGCGTACGACTTCTCGTACAAATATCGATCTGCTCGATTTATGACATCATCATACACGTCTCATCGTGTGATCTCCTCTACATACACATATTATGATGCTCTAAACGTTTTCTGGTACGCTTTAATGTGTTCTTGTGTTTTCTCCTTTTCAATTTTAGTTACGCTTTTCTTGAATCTGCACAATCGATAAAATCGATAATTTTGAAAACTTCTAACCCAAATGATATGGGCATTTTGGAAATTAAAATCGAGTCACTCAACTTTTTTGAACCTGAAGGCCGGAAAAGCGAACATGAAAATTTCAGACGGGGTTTGGTCTACGCACCATTTCGATTTCCGAAAAAATGAGAAAATGTAAAAAAAATATTCGTAGGAATATTACCTGACGTTTCCCACGAACCACTTTCGTTCCCCAGATATTCAGCAAAAATTTCGCACTCACATGAGAAGAATTGTTCCGATTTCCGGATTCCGCGATTTTGCTTTCATTAATGCTGAAAGAAGGAAATCCTTTTTACACATATTCTCTCCCATTTCACAAATCCCGTTGTTGCGAACATTCATAATGTCTCCCCTAACTGAGAAAGCAGGGGTAGCATGATAGCCTTCGAGAGCTTAGAAGTGTTTCCGGTGAAGTATTAGAGACACAATAAGTTTTTAGAACCCTAGCTGCATTTCGCAGCATAATCACTCAAGCGAGGTGTAGTCTAAAGAAAGCGGTCACGATAATTCTCTTAGGGACGGTAAGGCATGCTGGATGTGCGGTGGAGTGACACTAGGGATGATAGGGCCAATGGTTAAAACACGTGAAGTTTTCAGCGGCAGTAGCGCCTGCCGCAAATCCACTTCCGGCAAAACCAGAGTTTTATTGATGTGAAAAGCGCTGCAAGGGATGCGTGCTAGAGATGGTACCGTTATCGTGATTGTCCGATTTTCATTCTAGAGCGTACTTTCTTCTTAGCAGCCGATCTCCTTATCTTATGATATCGTATCTTCTAGGGGGTAACGCTCGTCCGAACATAATCTATCTCAGACCTTATGGATTTGATCACGCGAGTGTAGCAAATCCAGCGTGGAAGCTAGCAAGATCGCTTCCTTCCGAAGAATGTCCACGAGTCCAAATTATGTACTAAGTAAGCTTACGCTGAAATGTCACCTTAAATATGTATAGTGTACTTCACCCGTAGCAACACTTTCAACCTTGGGTGATTTCCTTCAGCGGTTAAGTTTCTCCATACTTATTACTGGAACAGCTGCAAGGAAAGCTCCACTAGGTATTCCTCAACATCGACATTTTTGTGGCGACAGAGACCTACTCTGGAGACTCCAAAAGCACGGCGCAACTTCTCCCACCTGCCGGATTTGCCGAGATGAGTTTATCCTCTTTTTCGACGCATTGCGCGATCCACTATGTTGCGGAAGTGCAATAGCGAAAAGCTTCTTTGAGCCCAACTAAGAACTACTGCTCCCTAGCCCATTGTCCATTTAAAGCACCACTTATTTCGAGTCTTGCAAAAATGAACGATAAACTTCAATTCGGATGCTAACAAAGGAGGTCTTTCAGGACTTGGAGTGCTTTTTCGAAATGTTTTTCTGCATGTTGTAGGGGCTTATGCGAGGAACACAGAAACTATGGTCCATTTTTCCTGAACGCCTCCAGGTATGTCAAAACATTGGCAAAGAAATGGTACAGAGTTAGATCCCCGCGATGAATAATTTTTGCAATATGATTCGGCGCTCCCAGTTTGCCGCAAACTGGCGCCATCTTCGAGAATAGATGTCATTGTTGTAAGTTGTAATTTGAGGCAGTATGGAGGCGTCAACATGAATTGCAAAAATTTGCCATCACGGAGGATCGAACTTTGGACCATTTCTTCATCGCTGTTTTGACAGTCCTGGAGGCGCTTAGGAAAAATGGACGATGGATCTGTGTTCCACACATGAGCCTCTACAATATTCAGGAAACCATCTTGAAAAAACGCTCCATGTTCTGAAAGACCCTCCTAGTGAGTCGCTCGTTATTTCGACTAGGAGCACACTACAATTTGAGGCGTTTCAGGGGCCTTGAGAAGCCTTTTTAGAGCTGTGTGCAGGTGATGGGCAACGATGATGAGCAACTGATCGAATTAAAGCGCACGTCAGGAGAGATCGTTGTCAATGCAGAGCCCTGAAGGTACACTAGAGGTGACAGACTGTGCACGTGTCAGAGCAAACTCGTCAGAGAAAATCGCCGCCAAATACGCCAAGTTAAACCCTTTGAATCCTTTCGATTTCGCTGTGAACGAGCTAGGGACCAACCCAAGCTCGTCCGCCCGTATTAATCCTGATAGCCGGTATCATGCCAAGAAACATGATCTCTTCATTGATAAAGCATTACCTAAGAAAACTTCAAAGATAAGCCCGCTCCACATGAAGTGGCCTTGAAAAAAAGAGCCAAGTACGCCACTTTAGGCTGGTGTCAGACTTTGCAAATACAGCGGTTCACTAGCGAATCGCAGTGTACGAGCGTTGCACAAGCAGATCGAACTATGTACCAGCGAACCTAACGACGTATCATTGGCTTGGCAGGTGTTCAAAAGGCAAGAATCAGGATTACATTGATGGGTTGATTCCACTCAAATGTGAAAGTAGGGATGAGAGGTGGACCGCCAATGGAGAAAAAGGAAAGAAAATCCTGAAATACAGGAAATACGAGCATTTTGCTCTATGCTGTGGAGAAGTTCAAAAGACAGGCAGGGAGATGAGAGATAATGTGAGCGCGGAGAGCGGTAGAGAAGTCCGAGAAGAGAGAGCATAGCAGATGTCGACGCCGCGATCCTTTTTTCGCGATTTGCGCGATTTTCGCGATTTGCGCGATTTTCGCGAAACCTGCGATGGATCACAGGAGTTGGAAGTGCCCGATGAATACTGCGAGGTGTTGTTTAATCCTGCTGCGAATTCTGCTTGGCAGTAAAGATTGGAAGACGAATGTTTGTGGTTCTACTTGTTTCATGTTCAATGTCTATTAGTTCATTGAAATGCTCTTGAATCGTTCCTATTTTTTTTTCAGGAATCAAACCAAACCAATCACAAAAATTGCAAGTGCCCCATTTGAACAATTGAAACACTGGATATGAAACAAGTGGAATCATGAGCAGTCTCCATTAAACCATAACCATCAAGCAGAAGTGACGGCGGGATTGGAGAACACCTTGCAGTATGGATGGGGCACTTGTGATTTCCGTGACCCGTCGCGCAAATCGCGAAAATCGCGAAAATCGCGCAAAGGATCGCGGACTCTGACATCAGCCTACAGCATTCAAGTTTAAGCGAACGAGACAAATAGTCGATCCAGTGGGGCATGTTATGTTTGGTGGAGTCTGTCAGAAGTGCATAGCGCCTAGGGTCCTGGTGACGGGTTTCTATATAGAAAGGTGGCGCTAACTTTGCACTTGGGTGCCCAGAACTTCTAGCCATGGTAAGGGCTTCTTAGGTAGGTCTGCAGCCCAAAATTTGCCTTTAAAGGCAGCGATTACGATAAAGAGGGAGCGCATCGGGGAAGCATATGCACCACACGAAGCAGTTACTTGGCTGCCAGGGAAGCGAGGTGTGGCGCTTTCACGACGAAAGGTGCGCTGGTTGCTGAGCAGGACTTCGAAAGCACTCCGCCCCAAAAGCGATCCGCCCACTAGTTTAGTTGGTGATTTGGACGAGCTGCGTTGCCAGCAGCGGCACAACTAGCAACTCGATTGGAGCATGGTTTGGCATGCTGCCACCAAACGCGTTGCGATGAACTCGTTCATACGTCCGCTTTCTGAGCTGTTACCTGTTCATGAGTGAAAACCAACGGCCAAAAAAGGGGGTCCCGTTTTGCGTTTTCTTGACGGATTTCTCCGCTTTTTTCGCCACTGGCGTACCATTGAGCACCACCAGTCTTTTATAAACCTTCTTGAACCTGTCGTAATCACTGCCTTTGAAGCGATGGGAGACCCTCTTGCTCGCACATTGACTCTCACTACTTTCATGGGCCTATGTGAGAATGAGAGAGCGAGAGGGTATGAAAGGCCGGGAAAATCGCGCGACTCAACGCGCGAACGGGAGGATCCCTCGCCACTTTCAAACACTGCCAGCCGCTGGTACATCGCTCGATTCGCTGGTGCAACGCTCGTACCCCGCGATTCGCTAGTGAATAGCTGGATTCGCAAAGCCTGACACCGGCCGAAACAGGTGTTTGCTCGGGTTAGGGTTAAGTACGTGACAATGGCGCAACACATGTATCTACTCGCTTCCTTCGCTGCCCACCGTCCTTTTCCTGTAGGCATACCTCCCGTCTTCCACATCAAATTTGTCACTGTAATACCCTCCTTTAAAAGTTCAAAAAAATAAAACAAAAATTAAAAATGGGTAAAAGTGTAGGAGCCGTCTTTCAACATAATATAATGAACGTGAAAATATTTCATTAGAATGAGTATGAGGAATAAATTCAAATTATTTTTTGACTTGTTTTTGTTTGTTAACTGCTGTTTTTGGCCGCAGTTCGCCTTGCGAATGTTTCACAAGAATGCTGGGTTGTGAACAAAACTTTCGCCCCAGGCGGGACTAGAACCCGCACCTCTCGCTT